ACACACCGATCAGGCTAAGGAGGAACCTGCTCCTGAAAACATTTTTTCACATCTTGAGTATCTTTTCATGTCAACAGTTATAATTTCTTGTAATCCTGATCTGACATTCGTTGTTAACGTTTAATCCAGGACTGGCAGGGCGGTTCTCATTTGGAGATGTTTGCCTAAACATACTGTTCTCCCGAGAGATCTGCTGCTCCTCACATCCCTGTGGCCTCGGCGCTCTCGAAGGCTTGCGGCTTTGTTCATGCCTTCAGACATTTAGGTGCATCATCCTCCTTCGGGTTTGTTTCTGCAGAGCAGCATTTGCAGTAGCGAAGGAGAAAAATAAGCAAATAGAGCAGCGTGCGAAAACTGGGACTTCTTCAAGCTTCAAAGTTACCAAAAATGAAATACTGAATTGAAAATATACTCAAATTAGCTGTTTCCCTCCGCAACACATAACCAATGTACGTGGCTGCTGAAACTTGGGTTTACAGTCTCAAACTGTCACCCTGTGTACAAAGTACCCCTCTGAGCACACAGTGGCTCCAGTAAAACTGTGGTGGGGTCACACAACGGGAAAAACAAAATATGCTGGAGAGTCTTAGGTGAATGTAAATAACATTTGGGTTTTTTTGCACAGCAACTATGCTGCTAGTGAGAAAGCATTTTGCTTCATATGTAATTAGTTAAATAATGATGCATCTTCAATCATACAGTAAGGCAGATGATACTTATTTTTCCCAAGTCTTTTTACAAAACTGAAATGAACAAATCCTCTGTAAATTGGCTGTTGATCTGTATACAGGAAGAGATTAAACAGATCTTCTGGATTATTCATCAAACCATTGTTTCCATTCGATATCTGATTTTGCTCAAAAGAAAAAGAGGAAAATTTATCTGTCACTGCCAAAAGCCAGAATCAAAGTACTGAACTTGATGAATGAATATCAGGACTAGAAGGCAGCACAGCCCTGCCCTCTGATGAAGATGCTGTTTCGTGGCCACACTGTGAGCCAACAGCAGCACAACAGCCCGGACAGGACAGGGGACGGTGTGGCCGGCCAGGGATAGGCAGCAACAGCAGGAGCACATTTCAAAACACTGCCCCACTGAGGGCCCACGTTTTTAAAGCAGGGTGACTGAGGGCAGGATCAACAAATGCATTTGGACCCAGCCCTTCGGACCTCACACTGCTCCTGCTGCTTAGCTCGGTGATGATGAATAAAGGAAACCACGGTTGGGAAGGGTGTGAAGTGACAGCCGGCCCAGAGCAGGCTGGACAGCTTCCTAGCCCTGCACCTTCACTGCCAAAATAAGACAAGTCTCTAAATCCATATTATTCAGTTGTATTTGGAAACCGAACATAACTAAACATAAACACCACATGGGAAACTCCTGATTACCCATGGACAGACACGGCTTTTTGCTTTTCAGGATAATGACAACAGAGCAACAGCTTTGTCATCCCCATCCATCCCTGTACAGACCAGAGCGGCTGCAAACGTTGTTGTGAAATATATCTCCCAGGGTTGTGACTTCTATACACAAGTACTCTTCTAGACAAAGCAGAAGTATTTCTAGTCACAAAGCAGCATTACTTCCCACAACAACTAGCAGGATTATTTTGTTTTGCAGTTTGTTTGCTTACATGTTATCCTTTTTTGAGAGAGAGCAAGAATTTATTCAACTGATATTGTATTAATGAGCTGCTAATTCCATCTATCCCACTGCTCTTGTGCCAGTACTTTACACAATGGCATTTTTCTGTCTTGGGAAAATCTGTGTCTTATGCAGATGGGAAAAGATTATCTGAATCAAGATATATATATACACACACACAAATATATGGTTTTTAATGCATTGAAAATGAACCCTACCTTTTATTTTAAATCCTTTATTCATAGGGAAAAACTAGTTTTCCCATGTGTATCAGAAACAAACATTGGTCAAATAATTCCAAAAAGTAAAGCAAACCTGATTTTTTCTTGGTCTAGAAAGCCAATAAAAGCATCTTAAAACTGCAGTGACAGGGGAAGAACAAATTGTGTGTGTCAACACATATATATCTTCAAACCAATTTAATACTAAAAGGATTTGAGAAAGAGGGAGGAGGAGCTTTCACTTCATAGCTTTCATTACATAGAATTTCTTCATAAATGGAGATGAAAATCGCTATCTAGATGCAGGAAGTCACACATAAAGCATTACCAACCTCCATTTACAAGCAAATTAGCTATTACGGCATAGCCTTAGAAGACTGTACTGGATTTAAAGCTGAGTTAGATTGTCATTATAATAGATGGAGCGTAAAAATCCTCTTTTTTGCTCCATTCTTGAGCTTGGTTTTGCTCAACCATCAGCTTACAGAGCCTCTTTCCTGCTTTCCACAAGCTCTCTGCTCCTGAGCTCACAAGCAGCATCCCTTTGTGCAACCCCACTTCTCCAGTGTTGATTTCTAGCACAGACAGGGAGGCACAGGACAGCAGCCCCCAGGTCCATCAGCTGTTTACAATTACCTCAGCCCTTTCCATTGTGAGGATGCTCCACAATCCTTTGTTCAAGTTAGCTCCTTAATACAACACCATACCCATTTATCTTGTAGTTTAAAATACAAAGCTGCACTATCTGTGACCTGAAACTGTGGAGATTACATCTCAGAATACAACCCCAATTTAGGCATTGATTTGTCACGTAAGGAAGAAACCTACAACTTAGTGATGAGGATAAGACAGTACTATGTATGTGCGTAATTCACCTTGGCATGGAGAGACTGGTCAGCTCCCAGAGGTTACTTAGCACTGCTAAATGCTTGTATATACTTGCTTTTCTTGCAGATTATATGTGACAAGAATAGTCTTGGGGAGTCATTACATAAGAAGGACTATTTAAAATTTATTTATTTTAGTGTAATTCTGACATTTCTAAACTAAAACCAGCCTGTTTCTTGTTCTTTTATTGTTGGAAAAGCTCAAAGAATCTCTGGTATGGGTCATATATTCTACTTCATAGCTCAGTGTTTTGCATTGGACAGTGACTTTCTTAACCACATTGCAGTATATTACAACTTCTCCTATCAATAATTTCTATGTGCATCCTGCACTGCACACTGCA